CCCTGCCCCCTTGATGTGGCCAAGTTTCCGCCCCCTGTTCCCGCGGGCTTCCTGCGTGAGCCCCAGTTACGGGGAAAACTCTTCATCTCCCCTTCCAAGAACCCCCACTTCCCGCCCCCGGAACCCTCCTTCGGGGCAGACACCCGGGGAGCCGGTCCCCCACCTCCTGCCTCGGTCCACGGGCAGGGACCCCGCCCCGCCCCTCGGGGACCCAGAGCCCGGCTCTCCCCAAGCACCAGGCTCGGCCAGCTGGGTGTGGAAGGGGCCAGGCGGGGTGACAGCCCAGATCGAAAGTGAAAGGAGATTTTTTTTTGGGGGGGGGGAGAAAATGAACAGGGGTGGAATTTTGACCCGAGGGGAGGGAGCCACCTGGTGGTGGCAGGTGGCCCCGCAGACAACACCTCTGCGGGACTCTGGGTCCAGAGGGGGACCAGGGCTGGGTGGATTGGTGGTGGTGGTGGGGGTGTGTGTGAGGGTGGTGGTGGGGGCGTGTCCCGAGATAGCGACCTAGGACTTGAACCTAGGATCCAGAGCAGCTCCCCTGTCCTTAATCTTAGCCCTGAAACCTCCTCCTCTTGAGTTTCATTGCAAGTAGAGGGCAGCTCCATCCTTTTGGAACCTCAGCCCAGTGGCTTGGAGTTGTGTGGTTTTTTTTTTTCCCCCTGAATTAATATTTATTCAAGTTTCCCTTTTTGTTTAACTTTCTTTTTGGTAAAGATACACAAGGAAAGCGTACATCAATTAAACGGTTTTGACAGGTACAATTCAGTGACATGGGTCATGTACCTCAAGTTGTATGGCCATTCTCAGCATCACACAAACACACTGCACGCAAGCATCTCATTGAACTTTTCAAGTTGCTGTTGTCTATTGGATCGCAGAGAGAATTCTGGAAAAGAACACAACGCTCACAGCGGCCACTCCTTTCTAATTAAGCTAAACTACCAACTCAACGGCACATAACAAGAGTTTGGTTTAAAGATGACCAATGACTTCGCATAGTGGCTAAGGCACTTGACTGCTAACCAGAAGGCTGGCAGTTCAAACCCACCAGCCACTCCTTGGAAGGAAGGTTGGGCAATCCTACTTCCGTAGTGATACTGCCTCGGAAACCCAAGGAGGGGTCGCTATGAGTCAGGGCTGACTCGACGGCACATAACAACAACAACAACAACAACAATGACTTCAGGGCCTTGTTTTGGTTTAAAGTTTGCATATTTCTTCAGGGCAATAGTTTTTTTTTTTTTTTTTTTTTTTTGGGGTCATCCAGCCTCAATGGCTCCAGAAAGTGAATTCCATGAAAATTGGCAAGTTCTGTTCCATAGTTCTCTCCCTTTTGATCAGGATTCTGCCATAAAATCTTCAATCAAAATATTCAGTAATGGTAGCCAGGCACCATCCAGTTCATCTGGTCTCACGGCAAAGGAGACAGTTATTCATGGAGGCAACTGGACATGTATTCCATAGTCTCCTCCACCTCCTAACCCGCCATCTTTCTCTGTTGCTCGAGGTAACCAGGGACCAACTGCTGTGCCCTGGATGGGCTTTTGCAAGCTTTTAAGGCCCCAGGCACCACACAACTTAGGAGTCAGAGCAGAAGCTCTATCAGGCCAGTTCATTGGAATGTCCCATAAGACATGGCCCTCAAACTCTGACCCAAGAAAACAAATACTCTGACATGTTTGCTTGTATGCAGGCCATGTCAACAGGTGCCTTTTTTTTTTCTTTATTTTTTGTAGGAAGACATATAACGCATTTGCCTACTCAACCCTTTTCGGGTGTATTGTTGTTAGGTGCCATTGAGTCGACTCATAGAGACCCTGTGTACGACGCAACAAAACCCTGCCTGGTCCTGAGCCAGTAACGTACCAGACAGTGTTTCACTGCTATTCATAAGGTTTCACTGGCCAATTCTTTGAGAAGTGGAGGGTCCTTTCCTTCTTCCAAGTCTGTCTTCCTCCATCATGGGTGACCCTGGTGGTTTTTGAAATACTGGAGGCATAGGCTCCAGCCTCACAGCCACACACAACCCACCACAGAACAACAAACTGAAAGACGAGTGGTGGTTTGCAGGTGTGTAAAACCAAAACCAAACTCACTGCCATGGAGTCAGATCTGACTCATAGAGACCTCTCCTTGGGTTTCTGAGGCGGTATCACTACGGAAGTAGATTGCCCAACCTGCCTTCTGAGGAGTGGCTGGTGGGTTTGAACTGCCAGCCTTCTGGTTAGCAGTCAAATGCCTTAGACACTATGCCACCAGAGCTCCCTTGAGGTGGATAGCTCAGTGGAATTAATTATTTTTAGCTTTAATTGTGGTGAAATATATGTAAAACATCACCCATCTTTATGTGTATGGTCTTGTAATGCCCAGTGAATGACTGGGTTGTTGTTGTTGTTGTTATGTGCCGTCGAGTCGGACCTGACTCATAGCTTTCCCTCCTTGGGTTTCCGAGGCGGTATCACTACGGAAGTAGATTGCCCAACCTTCTTCCCGAGGAGTGGCTGGTGAGTTTGAACTGCCAGCCTTCTGGTTAGCAGTCAAATGCCTTAGGCACTATGCTACCAGAGCTCCTGAATGACTGGTAACTGGGTGGGGCTATGCAAATAAGGTGCTTGTGGCCCATTAAGGGCACTGGACAGTCTGCTAATAATGCAAATAAGGTGCATGGAACCCTGCAGGGGTGGGACCATGCAAATAAGGTGCATGGAATCCTAACAAGGGACTGGGCAGTTTTGCCATCCTGCTACGCTTAAAATGAGCCCTCCCAGAGGCAGAACAGGGGGCCCTGACTACCACCAAGAGATGGGAGCAGGGTCCTTTGGGCTTAGGGTCCATATGCTGGGAACCTCCTAGACCCAGGAGACAGAGAGCTGTAACGTCAGAGACGGTGAGAGACGGCAAAAAGCAGTGCCAGAAAAATGCAGGAGACGGGGCGGTGGGCGCCGTGTCCACAGACCGAGAGAGGTAAGTGTCTGCAGGCTGAGGGTGACTTAAGTGCCCTCGAGCACATACTGTTGGAGCTAAAGAGCTCCGTGACACTTGCCCAGGAGAAGCCAGGGTGGCCCGAATGGCCAAGGACCAGCCAGAGGCCTGCCTGCAAGCATGGCTATAAGAAACTGTATTGACGGAAGAACTGTATCTAAGCGTCCCCGAACCTGAACTGTTACATCCCTAATAAACCCCGTAATTGTGAGTATTGTCTGTGAGTTCCGTGTGGCCATTGCAATGAATTGTGGAACCCAGCAGAGAAGGAGGGAGAGCCATGGGAGGAACGGCTGGTGTCAGAGTTGGTGAAAAGGTTGGAGAGAGGAGGCAGGCCTGACCTCTGACCCAGGAGTCAGCCTGGGGATGCTGCTGAGGATGGAGCTCTTTCTCCCTCCTGAAGAGGTCAGACACTGCCTCCACACCATTTCTACCTGCCCCAGGTAACCCCTAATGAACTCTGGTCTCCACGTATCTGCCCATTCTGGACAAGGCATATGAGCAGGACCAGACCACATCTGCCCTTTTGTGTCTGGCGTATTTCTCCGGGAGCCACTTTATACAGCTATATATCACAGCCTCATCGTATCCCTCAGTGATCCTACATGTGGCTGCTTTAATATTTGTTGTTGTTATTAGTTGCCACTGAGTTGATTTTTGACTGATAGTGACCCACTGACAGGAGAACTGCCCCTACAGTATTTCTCTTTCTTTCCTATAATATCTGATTGTGTTTACGGTGAAAGTTTACACAGCAAATTAGGCTCCTACTTAACACTTTCTACACAGATTATTCAGTCGTATTGGTTACATTTTTCACTCTGTCAACATTTCCAGTCATTCTGGTTGTACCATTTCCAGGGCTCTAGTTTCCCTGTCCAGGAGCTCTGGTAGTGTAGCGCCTAAGGCACTTGACTGCTAATCAGAAGGCTGTCAGTTCAAACCCACCAGCCACTCCTCAGAAGGAAGGTTGGGCAATCTACTTCCGTAGTGATACTGCCTCAGAGACCCAAGCAGGGGTTGGGTGTGAGTGAGGTCTGACTCGATGGCACATAACAGAGTTTCCCTGCTCAGTTACTTTCTCATCTTTGGTTTGAGTCATTGCTGACCGTTAGGTCTCCAATAGATGACTTTTTAAAGGAGCTCCTCGCTCACAGATCAAATTCTTGATTTTATGAACCAACGTGTGATCTTGAAGGGTCAAAGCAAAATCCTCCCTGTGGCCTGCAGAGCCCTGCAGGGCCTGCCATTGCCCGTCGCCCTCGCACTTATCCTATGCAACGCAGTCACCTCTCTGAGCTAGAGCATCCCACCTGCACTCCTGCCTCAGGGCCTTTGCACGGGCTGTGCCCTCAGCCTGGGCTGCCCTTCGTCCAGGGCTCCGCCCCCACAGGCTGTGCCCTCAGCCTGGGCTGCCCTTCGTCCAGGGCTCCGCCCCCACAGGCTGTGCTCTCAGCCTGGGCTGCCCTTCGTCCAGGGCTCAGCGCCCCCTCTCTCATTCAGGCCTTTGTTCTAACTCAGGGCGGCCCCTTCACTGACTGCCCTTCTCCCAGCACACCTTCATCCTGCGGAAGGCTGACATGGCGGCTCAAGGGGCCCCTCGCTGAACACTGTACAACTTTCACAGGCTAGCAGGCGTGGACATTCATCATAGGGACTAACTTACTGGTTTTCTCTCCCTTCCACATTCTTTTAAATCAATAGAACAGCCAATCTTTTTACGGATGGTGAGTTCTTTAGATTTGCTATGTACAATTCTGTGTTCTTCTAACTCTCTCCCAAGACTGGTTTCGGCTCAGAACCGTAGCCTAGGAAGCAAGATGACTCTGGGAGGAGGGATGTTGAGTCTGGAGTAACCAGGAAAGAGAAGAGCAAACACACTCCTGGCCATCAAGGGATCTTCAGCCCCCTTGGTATCTCCCTGTAGGATCATGTTGGCCCCTTTGCTGGGGACACAGACATTTTGGAGAAGTGACTCTCGCTGTCTCCTTGGGGACTGACACTCAATAAACCTTCTGTTTTCCTGCTTCAACCTGCGGTGACCATTGGCTCTTCATGACAGGGGGTCAGGACCTCGTTTTCCTACAATCTTGCTCTCACCAAAAAACCAAACTCACTGCCATCCAGTCGATTCCAACTCCTTGAGACCCCCACTGGGTATCCGAGGCGGTAAATCTTTGTGGAAGTAGACTGTCCAGTCTTCCTTCCGTGGAGTGGCTGGTGGGTGTGAACCACCAACCTTCTGGTTAGCAGCCAAATGCCTTAGGCACTACGCCACGAGAGCTCCTTAATCCTGCTCTACTTGGCTCCTTAATGCTTACCACCTTCTAACATGTCATGGGGTCTTCCTTTCATTCTCCAGTGTCAGCCACCTCCCTGGGGACATCAGCCCCCCGCGAACCAGGACAACAGCTGTCTGCTTTGACCCTGCGAAGTTCCCAGTACCTAAAACTCTGCCTGGCACGTAGCAGGCGCTCGAGAAGTATTTACTCAAGGAAACAATGAATCCCAATTTTGTTCCCTCCTTATCACTAGGCATTTACTAGGGCGCCATGACGGCAGTGGTGGCTCAGGCGTAGAGTTCTTGCCTTCCGTGCGGGAGACCTGAGTTCGATTCCCACCCAAGGCGCCTCATGCACAGCCCCCGCCTGGCCGTTGGTGCAGCCCCGGACGCTGCCAGGATGCTGAACGGGTTTCGGCAGAGCTTCCAGACTAGGACAGACCAGGAAGAAAGGGCTGGCGAGCAATTCACAAAACTCAGCCCACGGCAACCCTTCGGGTCCCAAGAGTCCGATCCCACTGTTGCCGCGAGTCAGGGGCTGACGGACGTGCACCAGCTGACGACATGGTTGCTCCCAGCAGGACGACCCGCAACAGCCGAACAGTGGAAACAACCCGTGTGCAACAACAGATGAACAGGTCAACACAACATGCCCCCCACACACACACACACTGAAACAACAGCCGCCTTGAAGTTCATTCTGACCCACAGCGAACCCTGTGTGTCAGGGTGAAACTGCCCCATACAATGTTCAGTAGCTGACTTCTAAGAGCAGATTGCCAGACCTTTCTTCTGAGGGGCTTCTGGGTGAATTCCAACTTGCAGTGCTTTGGGAAGCAGCCCCGCTCACTCACCCTCTGTACCCAGAGAATATACGTAATGAGCACATGGGGCTGCGAACCAGGTTGGTTCAAACCCACCAGCTGCTCCGTGGGAGGAAGAGGAGGCAGTCTACTTCCATAAAGATTCACAGCCTTGGAAATCTAATGGGTTGCTATGAGTCGGAATCAACTGGACGGCAGTGGGTTATGCAGCCACAAAAAGAAATGAGGTCCTGATCCATGCCAGGACAGGGTGAAACAGAGTGGACAAAAGTGGACACGAACCATTTGCTCGCACTGCACAACATCTCCAGTGCAGGCAAATGCACGGGGAACAAAGTGGGCTAGTGGGGACCAGCGAGCATCACGTGGGGGGGTGGGGTCATTGCTGGTGCGTAGTGCCTAAGGCATGTGACTGCTAACCAGAAGGCTGGCAGTTCAAACCCACCAGCCACTCCTCGGAAGGAAGGTTGGGCAATCTACTTCCGTAGTGATACTGCCTCAGAAACCCAAGGAGGGGTCGCTATGAGTCAAGTCAAGTCAATGGCAGTGACTTTGGTTTGGGCTTTGCTTCCAGCGGGTGTGGTTTGGGCTTTGCTCCCATAAAGACTGACAGCCTTGGAGACCCTGTGGTGCAGTTCCACTCTGTCCTCTAGGGGCGCTGTGGGTCAGAATCCCGTCCAGGCACTGGGTTTGGTTTGGGCTTTGCTTCTGTGAAGGTAGGAGCTCTGGTGGCCTAGTGCCTAAGGCATTTGACTGCTAACCAGAAGGCTGGCGGTTCAAACCCACCAGCCACTCCTCGGAAGGAAGATGGGGCAATCTACTTCCATAGTGATACTGCCTCAGAAACCCAAGGAGGGGTCACTATGAGTCAGGATTGACTTGACGACAGTGAGAGAGAGTTAGTTTCTATTAAGAATAATTAAAAAAAAAAAAAAAAGAAAACTGGAAAAGGATGTTGGTGATGGTGGCGAAATATGAGGAACGTAATTCACATCACTGAACCATGTATAAAAACATACTGAAACGGCAGATGCCTGGCTATATACATTTCACATTAAAGATAATGATAATCCTGGTGACTGTCGGGAGGAAGTGGGAGGGGAGCTCTTGCATTGCGGTGAATTGTGGTCAATGTCATGAGACAAAGTGTATGTGAACTGCTGTATGGAAAGTGAATTTGCTCTGTAAACTTTCACCCAAATCATAACTAAAACAAAAAATTTTAAAAATTAAAAAAAAAATAATGATGATAATCCCAGAACAGTGGGGTGCTGGTGCCGGCAGCTCGCACCGGGTCATGGAGCTGATGTTTAGAAGCCCAGGGAGGGGTTCTGGCAGCCGGTTACACGGTCATCTGGAGCTTGAAATCTACAACCAGCTCCCATCGATTGATTCCAACTCCTGGCGACCCCATTGTCAGAGAACTGTGCTCCCCACAGGATTCTCAATGGCTGACGTTTTGGAAGCAGTTCACCAGGCCTTTCTTCCTACGTGGCTCTGGGTGGAGTCCAGCTTCCAATCTCTGGACCAGCAACCAAACACATTAACCTTTGACACCACCCAAAACGAGAAAACCAAACTCACCGCCATTGAGTTGATTCTGACTCATAGTGACCCCCCCAACTGGGTTTCTGAGGCTGTAAATGTTTATGGAAGTCATTCACCCCATCTTCCTTCTGTGGAGCGGCTGTTGGGTTTGAACCACTGACCTTCTGGTTAGCAGTCAAATGCCTTGTCCACTTAAATCTGACCCAATGGGAGTATTTACAATGTGGAAAATGGCAGAAGTGACTTATCAGGGCTTTTGTTTTCTCCCCCAAGAGCTGATTAACCAGCATGACTGCTGTGTGGACAGAGGGACCGTGCAAAGGCAGGCAAGCATTCTGCAGAGAGCAGGATCAGCCGACGGGCGAGACCCTGTCGGGGAGCCTCAGGGTCCCCTTTATCTATTTCACAAACACTGCACTGTACTTGAGTCAGCCCCACGGGGGTTTAGTTTTGAATCTCAGAACCGAAATGGCCTCAAATACACCAGCAGTTACTCCTGCCTCGTCTCCTCCAGGGAGCACAGCCAGGGTTGGTCAGACGGTTTATTGCAGGTCACGGGGCCACGTTCAGAGGAAGGTTCCGGGTGTGGTGTCTGCTGGGGTTCTCTCCTCTCCTCGTGGGCACTTAGGTCAGTCCCCCATGGGCAGCCACAGGGCCTTGGTCCGCGTTGCCCGAAGCCTGAACTCCGGGCCGGCCCCCTCAGCCTCCTGGTCCCAGGCCCGCGGGCAGCCTCCGTTCACCCACACCGACTTGAGGTTTCCCGCGGAGGCCCACTCCACAAACTGGGAGCCCTGGAACGGGGACAGGAGGTGTCAGGCCCCCCGCTGGTTCCACAAAGCAGCTACTTCCTTAGTGACTAGGACTCCATGGCTACAATGCTCACAAGGGAACCTTCCAGATGCTGAGGGACAAGAGGCTGACCCTTGTCATTAGGCCGTTTCCTCCACCGCAACTGCCCGTGTTCAAGGGAGTCAGGACCGACACCCCGGTTGACCAGGAGCTGCCGACCCATAGCAGGTTCGAGGGGAGACTGACTGCTGTTGGGGTGTGGCCTTCAGCAACTGGCTGTCCAATGAGAGTGGGTTACTGGGCTGGGCGGGCTCTCAGGCCCCCGTTACTAGGCAGATCCTCTTCCTTAGCAATTATGATCCCAAAGGGACAGGAACTGGGAACCCTGTTCCCAGGGCATTGCTCCCCTGAACAACAGGAGTTCTCAGGGTGCAGGGCCACACACCCATAAAGGAAGAGACTGATGGTCAAGCTTAAGACACTGGAGGTGGCAAGACAAAGGGTACCTGGGCCGATCCGAAATACCACAGGGCCTGGACGTCCTGGTGCAAGGCCAGGCAGCGCGTCAGATGGTCCCTGTCTCCCGTCACGACGTTCACCAAGCCAGCTGGGAACAGGGTAACCATGTCCTACAAGGTGAGAGAGGGGGTGGCCCAGGGTGAGGAGAGGAGAAGTGAGAGACGCAGGGGGGTGGTGGCAGGGGCAGGGGTGAGCATCTGGGGCGTGGTCATGGGGCTCCCCCTAGGAATGCGGTGGGGGTCTTGGACTTGGGAAGGCTCAGGGTCTGGAAGGAATGGTTACTGGGTATATGAAGAGGGCTGGGGTTACCCAAGGATAGTAGGGGGATGGAGTGAGAAGCGAGCTCCCAGTGGGCCTTGGGGTACCTTCCCCCTCTACTCATCCACCTGTCCCGTGAGAACAGCAGGCAGGAAGGTGGCAGTACCTGGCAGACCTCCAGGGCGGGCACGGGAAAGGCTCCACTAGGCACCATGACCAGGGTGTTGCCGCAGGCAAGGGCAGTGGCCAGCAGGGACACAAAGGCAAGCAGGGGCCACTCCTCCGGGCACACGATGGCCAGCACACCCACAGGCTCCTGCAGCCGCAGCACCGGGCCTCGCAGCCCCGCAGCCTGGGGACCGGGCAGGAGGGCAAGGGCGGACTTCAGCAAGGCGTCTCCATCTCATCCCTGCCCTACATCTCTGCTTCTACATACCACCACCAGTAACAAAATAACCCGGAGGAGCGTTCAGACTGCCTGGGTTCAAATCCCAGCTCTGCCATTCACCAGCTAGACAGCTGTGTAAGCATATCCCCACATCAGAGGCGTCTGGCATAAAATTAAACAGCCCACCTGGTCCAGGTTAAAGTCTACTTTGCTTTTCCCTTCAGGCTTATTTCTGCTTTTTTACCTGCAGCTGGACTCTTGTCAAGTAGCTGTGGTGCCACAGTGGCTAAAGCATTTGGGTGCGAACCAAGGAGTCAGCAGTTCAAACCCACCAGCCGCTCACAGCAGAAAGATGACGCAGTCTGCTTCTGTAAACAATTACAGCCTGGGAAACCCTATCAGGTCTACTCTATTACAGAGTTGCTCTGAGTGGAGACTGACTTGATGGCAGTGTGTTTGGTTTAGTTGGACTCTTATAAAACTTAGCCTATGCTTATAAAACTTGCCTGCTAACCAGACGGCTGGTGGTTCAAACCCATCAGCCACTCCTGGGAAGGAAGGTTGGGCAATCCTACTTCCATAGTGATACTGCCTCGGAAACCCAAGGAGGGGTCGCTATGAGTCGGGGCCAACTCGACGGCACATAACAACAACAACAACAACATAAAACTTGATCTGCCCTTAGCAAATGAAGGTGGGCATCAGAAATGTGGCTGGCTCTAGGAAACCTGGAGCCCACTCCCTTCCTTGCAAAACCTGTTCTCAGAAAGAATGCTTACGCCAGTTCCCCTGAAAAACTAATTTTGTAAAACGCTTGTCTAGCCCCCTAATCTGCAGATTAGAAAAACAAGTTGCTTGAAAATATTTATGGTCTTTCACCTGTGGGCTCAGGACCATGGCCACAAGGAACATCAGGCTCAACTGGCATTAACATACTACATAAAATCAGTGTTCTACATCCTACTTTCATGAGTAGCAATGAGGGTCTTAAAAGCGTGCAAGTCACCATCTAGATGCAACCATGGGTCTCTCCTCATCCAGAGCAAAGAAGAATGAAGAAAATCAAAGATGCATGGAAACAATTAGTCCAAGGGACTAATAGACCATGTGAACCTCAGCCTATATGACCACGAGACCAGGAAAACTAGGTGCCCAGCTACCACTGTCAACCACTCGAAAAGGGATCAGTGCAGGAAACCCTGGATAGAGTGGGAAAATAATGAGGAACAAAACTCAGAATCCTAAAACCAGGTTAATTGGTCTGATAGAGTCTGGGATTATGGACCTTACTTACCCTTCAAGTCTGGAACTGAACTCACTCCTGTGGCTTCCAGCCAAACAACAGACAGGCAGATGGAGTGAACATTTACATCAGGTAGATACATTCCTTAGAACAATCAATCATGGGAGAATAGAAGGGCTGTGTCTGCACAGGGAGACAGCTCAGGGGGCAGGAGTGCATGGGAGGAAAGGACACAGGGAAGAGGTAACTACAGGGAGGAAGTGAAGTGGGAGGGGAGCTGTTACTTTGTGGGGAATTGCAGTCAATGTCATGACACAAAATGTGTATGAACTGCTGTATGGAAAACAAATTTGCTTTGTAAACTTTTATCCAAGTCACAATAAAAATTATGTGTGTGTGTGTGTGTATGGTTTTTTCAACAGAGACTTCTAGAGTCTCATGATAACCCAGGGACTGATTACACAAAACTTTGTAAATATTGTCCAATCAAAAAATGGCCTGTTAGTTTGTATTTAAACTATCCTCTGGCTCCAGCTCTCCAAAGCGGATGGTTATTTCTCTGCATGGTCCCCAGTTCAAACTGGTCTATTCCTCAATAAACCTCCTTGTTCTATTCTAGAAGAATTCTGACCATTTTCATCTAAGACATTTCTATTGTCATTTGTGAGATTCAAAGATTCATTGCCTGCAGTGACCCGACTACTCTGGGACTTGGGCTCCAGTACCAGCTGAGCCATTTTGGACTCTCTGCTCCATGAACTCTTAGGAATCACTGTCATGTAAATAACTGCTCAAATTTGCGTTCTTTGCTTCACACCTATTTGAGCTTTTTTTTTTTTTTTGTGATCTGTTGTGTTCCTGCAAGACTGTTTAAAACCCTCTGTCAATTTATTTGGTCACAGCCAAGGAACCTCAAAGCCTGGAAGCTGTAAAGACTGTGGGTATAGGACGAGAGCTTAAAGGCCTGTACAGCACTTACCACTCACCACCATCTAAAAGACTCCTCCTATGAGAGGATAAACCAGCGCAGACCATGGGTCAGAAGCATTAGGCTGCTCACTGATCATAAGATAATTCCTGTGCAGCCAGGCACATATCGGTTAAAGCAAAATATGACCTTACAGCACTACCACTATCAGGAATTTAATTTGTTTTTGAGGAATTGGCAGCTTGCACCTTCAGTTCTTTACTATCCTCAGAAAAATGGGAAATGTCTTATCGAGAGGCAATTTGGAGTTTCATTCTGGAACTCTGGCCTACTACATGAACATACATTTTGGTTCTCATACATGTCTGTTTCCCATAACCTTACCGAAGACAGTCTGGAAAATATGTGGCCAATTTGAAGTTGTTCTGAATTATCGAAATCAGTTTTTCTGTGCAGTTGATTAAAAGAGAACTACTCTCAAGTTAAATAATTTCAGTGGGATGCCTATTTTGACCAGTATCTGTTGTTGTTGTTATGTGCCGTCGAGTGGGACCCGACTCACAGCGACCCCTCCTTGGGTTGCTGAGGCAGCATCACTACGGAAGTAGATTGCCCAACCTTCCTTCCAAGGAGTGGCTGGTGGGTTTGAACCGCCAGCCTTCTGGTTAGCAGTCAAATGCCTTAGGCACTGCACCACCAGAGCTCCTACCTTCACAGAAGCAAAGCCCAAACCACACCCACTGCCTGGAGGGGATTCTGACCCACAGCGCCCCTAGAGGACAGAGTGGAACTGCACCACAGGGTCTCCAAGGCTGTCAATCTTCACAGAAGCAAAGCCCAAACCACACCCAGTGCCTGGAGTCGATTCTGACCCACAGCGCCCCTAGAGGACAGAGTGGAACTGCACCACAGGGTCCCCAAGGCTGTCAATCTTCACAGAAGCAAAGCCCAAACCACACCCACTGCCGTGGAGTCGATTCTGACTCACAGCGCCCCTAGAGGACAGAGTGGAACTGCACCACAGGGTCTCCAACGCTGTCAGTCTTTGTGGGCGCAAAGCCCAAACCACACCCACTGGAAGCAAAGCCCAAACCAAAGTCACTGCCATTGACTTGACTTGACTCATAGCAACCCCTCTTGGGTTTCCGAGGCAGTATCTCTATGAAAGTAGATTGCCCAACCTACCTTCCGAGGAGTGGCTGCTGGGTTTGAACCGCCAGCCTTCTGGTTAGCAGTCAAGTGCCTAAGGCACTACACCACCAGAGCCTAGAAGCTTCTAAAATCATCAAGATAGCAAAATTGCTTTCCTGCAAGATACTGTTTCTAAGTTAACTAAAGAAAAGAAGGAACTGAAATGTCACATTTCTCTTTCACGTAGTCCTGCTGCCCCAATGCCATCTGCTTCTTTGCTGGTCGTCTGTCCTCTGCCCCTGCTTTGCCTTCTTATGCTCCTGACAACACTCTCTCTGACTTTCCTTTCTTCCCTAAAGAATCAACTAAAGAACAGTCTACCTTTCCTGAAATGCCTTTTAAGGTTAGAGACACAGAAGAATAAGATAAACCTCCACAGGTTACTTTTTCTCCCTGGTCAAACATTGAACTTCACGCTGTAATAAAAGAATTTCCTAAACCTCGTGAAAATTCTTGAACATTTACAGAGTAGTTTAGAGTACTGACTGAAACCTATAAACATGGATAGTCAGATCTATACCAGTTAATAAACATATTAGTAGGATAAGAGGAAACTTAACTATGGCTGAAAGAAGCAAATTGCAGAAAATAACAAAGATCTTTAACTATAAAACCTAATGCCTCTGGTACTTTAGACAAAACTAAAGAGCCAGAAAGCTCTTAGATGCCATCCCTAAAGCTTTCTTTTGGAAAAGAGATGGTGCAAAAGTACAAAATGGCAAACAAGAAAAAGATGAAAATGTTTATACTTACGGAGATCACTTAGCTAAAGCCTTTACCAAACTTTCCAGTCTGGACCCTACTGAAACTGAAGGTAGTATAGCATTCAACTTAATGTTTTTAAATGGTCTGCTTCCAGAACTATCTGAATTGGCCAAATGCTACAGGTTAGACTGGGACAGAATGGCAAAACATTACCATCAATGAAATGATTCATCCAGCCTTTAAACTGGCTCAGAAATTAGAACGAAAAAAGGCAACCAAACCAAACATACTTATGGCTCTACAACAGCAGAGATTGCAAATCTCTGCCAAACCACAGCCTAATTTAAAACAGACCAGGCCTGGTGTTTGCCATTACTGAAGACACCCACTCATTGGAAAAAATGACTGCTATAAACTAAGGAACCCAAAGAGCTGAATGAAAACTCAAGAGGGCACCCTTCAATCTGACACAGAATGAAGTGGCTCCAGGGAAACAACAGGGGACTTTCCCACGGTGGCACTTTATTTTCAAGGAAGGACTAGTATGAATATTAATGGGGAACCTTGCTGATTTTCAGCTGATACTGAAGCTACTACGTCTTGCTTAACCTCCACATCTTTACCAGAGCCCCTTCCCTGGAGTACAAAAATCTCAAGATAGTGGGGGTTACTAATCAAGAACAAACACTGGTCCATTCTCAATCTATTCCAAAATCTTTTTGACTCATTGAAGATTTATATCCTTTTGCAGTTAGTCCTGACACCGCTGTCAATTTGTTAGGCCAAGACTTTTTACTCAAATGAACTTGCCGTTTACAATTCACAACAAAGTATTCAACTTACCTGATGCCCTAAAAACCCTTAATGAGAAAACTGACTCAGAATTATTTCAAATGG